CATCGGACTCGTCTTGAAACTCTGATCACAAATATATGTTTATTATCTGCCAAGCGACTACTGGGAGGAGTTATGGGCGTTGAAATGCGCGATTTCTCAAGTGTTCTATGGCGCATGTTCCACTAAATAGGTTTCAAAGACATTTATTTGGGTTTTTAGTAAATATGCTTCTTCCTTGTAACTAAAATAACTATCCGCGGAGTCAAGATGCCTTTCAAGGAAATGTATTCGTCGAAAGTCGAAAAATTTCTCATGTTTGAACGCTCATAGCTCCTCGCAGATAGTCAATTGGCGAATAAAAAACATATACTCGAAATCAGCGTTTTAGGTTGAGTCCGATGATGTACAGCTTGTTTGAAATGCCTAAAAAGTTCTGACCATTTCTTCGCAAACATTTTCATAATTTTGCGTAGAGAGAAGTGACAGCTACGGATTTTGGAACTAATTGCGAACGATGCAGTTTTATGTTATCTTCGAGTTTTTATCGTCTTCGCCTGACATCCGAATTACGGCGAAAATTCGTCGAAGCGGCAAGTTACAATATCTACAACGCTCGCTTAATCAGTTCGAGTTTCTCTTTCACCACCGCGGCTGTCCCTTTTGTTGCAGCTATCGCTGGTATCGGATTATACTTCGATTCAAAACGTCGAACGAAGTCTCCGTTAAATAAGATCATCTAACGGCCATGCTTAGACTGCAGATAAGGACTGGTTTCCCACCTGCTGCTTCATTTTCATGTACTGTAAAAAAAGGAAGACATCCACTTGCGCAATCTGGCAATTAGTCAAATTGGTCACAACGATTTGATTTGCGTTGCTGGATAAGGAAGCTGTTTAATTGAATATTTCTAAAAAAAATCGTGCGTAACGAGCACGGGGCATTGCTAAAATTTTTACCAACTCAACTACTAATCATAAGTCATCTCATAATCTTTTACTTCAGCGGAATGCTGACGATATCCAAAATATAGATCAGATACAAACAAAGCCTCTGCGGCCTGTAAACTGTTATCATCTGGTCATTGTAAAATAGGACATACATAACTTGCAGTTTTATAACTAAATTATAAGTGATTTGAGAACAGGAAACTGCTGTTTGGGACTTTCATGTTACTAATTTGGTAGTTCTTGGAAACTACTGCATACGCAGAATCGCACATCCGAAAGTTTGTGACATACAAGTACATTCTAGCAGTTACAAAACATTCTTTCTTGCCTATTAACTAGCTAAATATGCGGTATGAGTAAATCTGAAACCTGAACTTTTTTATAGTTTAAGTTCGATAATTGTTGGTCGGTTTGAACTCAAAAGCAGTATCCCGGCAAAATTTCGCTGTCCAGTTTTTTACCTATTCGGAGCCTTCTCGCCGTGAGGAACCCATGCTTTTCAGCGCATGAAAATGGCGCAAATGAGCCTTTTTCGAAGCTTCTCAGATCCGCTTCAGTCACCAATTTTTGAATGATTTGAATAAAAATAATATACTAATTTTTTGAATAATTTTGATAAAAATAATATAATAATTTATGAATAATTTGAATTCGAAGTCGTCAGAAGGCAGTGGCGGGGCTTTCTGGCAGATTTCGGATTTACTTTTTGCATAACTTTTTCAATTGAATACGCTGAAAACAGAAATTTCTGAGGCATTTGAGAGCAATGCTGCAACTGCAAGTCTTCAGCGTCGGAAGTGATTGGTTCCTTCGAAAATCAGATGGATTCGCTTTACGTTGCTTTTCACATTTCCTTATGCACAAGAGAATACTCTTCAATTCTAGAAATAGCAAATTTGGCAAATCGGTGCCAGTTTCTAACGCCATCTAAAAAAAGAAACCAAGCATGATGGATGGATGTTAGACGGGTGGTAAACGCCTTTTGTATATGTCATCCATTATTGTGGGAAAGAAGATAAAAAAAACGGTTCTGATAGTCAACTTAGATTTATTTTGGTTGCAAACACTTGCAACAGGCAATCAAAGAAATGGAAATTTCTTATCAGAAATTCTTTACCATGAACAAGATTGCTATAGGAGTCAGTTATGAAATCGCAAGCACCAGTTTAGCAAATTTTCTATTATGGTTACATTCCAGGAAATTCGATAACCAATCTGAGAATAAAAAACGGTGAACGACTCCCATACCCCTTTTCCTCCTACAAGCTTTGAAAGACAATGCTGTGAAAGCTTTGCGATCCAATTAAAGACTTATAAAAATACTTGCTATTGCTTATCCCGACGCTAGCCACCGAGTGTGTAATCTCTCTTCCACCGTCTCCGTTTTCTCTATCATTGAGCATGGTTACGGCGACTCGGGGGTGAAAGCAATGCTAACGAAGATCAAGTTTTATTCACAGCTGATTGTTTATGCAGAGATAGTAAAAGCAGCGCTAGACGAGAATGTAGATCAAAGATCGTACGATAACACCATATGTCAAAATTGAGCTAAAATTTTGGTTATTTCAAAAAATTAATCAAGTAAGTTTGGTGTGTCATTGGAAAGGCCTTTTCTTACTTTCAATCATTCCATCGGCTTATAAATTTTTGTCCAAAAAGAAAATTCATTGAATGGCCGATTTGAAAGAAATGGGTTTCGACAACGGCAAAAAAAGAAAGAGACAAGTTCTAAATGACTGGAACGTGCTGGATTATTTCGTACGACCATATTTCAAATCGAAAGCATGTCCTATGCCTCATAAATCAATTGCTGTGCTGAAATCGTCTTCAGTGAAAGCCTGGAACGATTTTCCTCAAGAATCCAGGAAGCAATCGATCAGCTAACAGAAAGTCCACGTAATTGTATTGTCAAACAGAAAGTCATTTTGAATAGCTGCTGATTTTAAATTGTTTGAAAGAAGAGATCATAAACTACAAGAGTAATGATACCAAATACGACTCTACATTTTTCTAATTGAATTTTAAATCAAAGTTTGTCAACGCATCTCTGAGACACGTTTCATTGACAAGAAAAAGAATTCTTCGACAAAGAATAACTGTACCTTCTTGATGAGGTAGAGCTGTCAAACTGACATACTTCGAAAGTTTTGAGTCAGAGTTTCCGACTGATTGCGATTCAGAAACATATGAATTTTGAAATAAAAAGTCTAACTTCAATTTAAAAAAATTTCATTGCAACGTGAAGAAAAAAAATGTTTTAGAAGTGATTACAAAAATTGTTCCGGTTGTTGCTGGAACTACATGTATCATAAAAAAGAATATATGTTCCGTCTACCTCTAAGAGAAATTTCACAATTATCCATGACTTTTCTGATTTTCTACAACGGTACTCATGACTTTTCTGATTTTCTACAACGGTACTCGTTCTGACCTTTGTGTCACAGCATTACTTTAGAATTCCCAGTGACGAACATACATGGCATTACCATTACAGTAGGTAGTTTATTTGTGTCAAACTTGCATATTTTGATGCTAGTTTTTGTAGTGAGAATAACTGTCATCGGCGGCTGCAGATAGAAAAATGTGCGATTACACAAAAATATACGAGGAAAAATGAAGGTTATGTGCCAGCCTACCTGCAATTATTAGGTCGTTCCGAAAGTAATGTCGCTTTTTTCAAACGTATGCCACATCTCGTGGAACAAAGATGTGTAAGAGATTCTGGTAGCATTTGATGCAGCATTTCATTCTCTTTCTAATGGTTATGAAGCTGTTGCAATACAATCAGTGAGCTTCCAGAAGAGAGTCAAAATCTGCGACTAATGCTTTTTGAGATGGCCAAGTTTCACAATTTTTCTAAAATTTTATAACAAACCTCAGAAGGAGTCTAAGTAATGTATGGATGGAGCAAACCCTACAGAAAACAGCACAACTTTTTTCTACTTTCCAGAGCTCGTCATAATTTTTGTACAGACTTTTCGATGGAACCACCAAATTTTAGCAGGCTCGTCTCAGACACAAGTGCATCAAACGCCAACAAGTGTCCGGAATTTGAAGTTTACAAAGATGGATTATGGTTTGGCAACAATTTTACAAACCAAACGAGTATTCACCGCTTCGGTTTAGCAACTTTCGAAAACTTCGGGTACACCTTGGGGTGCCTTGGAAAAGTTGAATTATGATGATTTTATCCCGGAAAACTTAATGAATCGGAAAGAAAAAATGACCGCTAGAAAGAGGAGAAAAAGCTGCATCGAATAACACCCGAGTCGCTAGCCGGTTGTTGTTCTGTGAGGTTAGACCTGACTAAATATGGAGTTTCATGGCATCGAGAAATTGATTGTAGAAACTCTGAGAAGCAAGCTAAAGAAAAGAAAAAATTACTATGTGTTCTATAGTGTTTGCTCTATCTACCTGCCACTTGTACTTTTTCGGATATTAGGTACAAAGAATTAGAAAATTAGCCGAACTTGACCATGGCAAAAAGCATGAGTCGCAGATTTTAATAGTTTTTCGGGAGCTCATTGAATATTATGCAGTAAAGTTAGAACCATTAGAAAGAGGATAAAATGCTGCATCGAATGCTCCTAAGATCTCTTGAAAATATTGATTCCACGAATAGTGGCGTTCATTCGAAAAAAGCGACATTACTTTTGGAACGACCTAATATATGAATTAGCGAAGAAATTCGAGGCTACTTTCTTCGGAACTTCCCATCAAATTTCCAATCAATGAAGGTATTGCATAACACGTTGCAGACTTGAAAATCTACCAAAAACAAGGTTATAAAATATAACTTTCTCAACTCAGCGATATCGACGAAAACTTTGCAAACGACTCGTTTGTATTCGTCTAGCCAAAATGACACATTAGATACCCACTAAAAAACTATGCTGGCTGTGACCAAAACGTCTTTGTTTGTGACCACATACCTGGCCCAACTACCTGCGCCTGCTCTCTGTTAATTTGCAACGTTTCGGGTAGAAAAATGATGGAGGCGTAGCCGAACATGTGCTTACGGATATCTTTCGAAACTCGCCGTGAACGGGTTTTCCCGACAAAGAGTGACCCGCTCACTAGCATCCGCTTTATAAGCACTCTTGAAACACGCCAATGGCTAGATATTCAATCATCATGTTAGCTGCCCTGCTCTTAGTCGTTAGTCTATTTCCAGCCACTCAGGTTAGATCGAACTTACATTCACGTTTTTCATTGCTTGGGACTCTCATTACTTACTTCGTTAATAAGGCTAAGTTATTACTTCTTCCATTGAAATTATGTGCCAAAGTGCAAATATGTTCGTTCTAATGCTTCTGAAGTATTTCGATATAACTACGAGCGCCGCACTTTTTTGGTGCAAATATGTTCGTTCTAATGCTTCTGAAGTATTTCGATATAACTACGAGCGCCGCACTTTTTTGGGAGCTCAGAATGCCTACCAGAGTAAATCTTACGCTTGGGGAGCTTACGCTATACTTGCTTTTGTTACCAATATTTATAGCTAAATGAGAATACAGTGAGTTATTGTTTCTGTTTACTAATAGCGTTTGAAACATTCACTATTGAGCCACTCGTCTTTCCGAGTTTTTTCCATTTCTATACCGTCTCCTGACCACTTTCCTCTTTAGAAAAATTCTGAAAATCTGAGTTTATGTAAAAGGAATAGTTGCTCTCTAACACTGCTTCTATTTTCAAATTTTCTCCTAGATGGCAGTCTCGCTAAATTCCACTCGCAATTTTTTTGAGGTTACTGCACTTGTTGTCAAATGCTGGAACATCAGTTAAAAACAATAATACATGTTTTTGAAGATGAAAATCTGTAAAAGCCAAATTCAAATTTTTTCAAAATAAGGAAACCTTTTCTTATCCAAACGAGTTAACAAAAAATGTACGCCGGAAAGCTCAGAAGCAAGAACTTTTAATTTCTGTAACACAGGCTTCTCAGAATTTGCATAGTTTGCAAGAAAACAGATACCAAATAAAGAATATGAAGAACTTTGAAAGTAGAAACGGAACATCTATCTGAAAATGAGTTCGGGTTTCAAAAATTTTGATTCAAACTGGGTTATAAAAGATGAAAAAACGTTATTAAAAAAGAACGAACTTTTTCCAGTTGCTCTTTTTCATGTTCCACTTCAACTTCGTAGGAAGAACGAAAAAACTAACGAAGTGAAGTTTTTATTTAGTTCCTTTCGAGTTTTTGGAACACATCTAAAAATTACTATGGCTTTGTGAACATTTCTTCAGCTCACTAAGAATGAATTACAGACTTTGGATAAGCAGTCAGCGTCAAGGCTTTTCCTTTCAACACTAACGATCAAAGTAGCCGAATAGTATGGGCTTCATCTAAACGGCATATGATCACTTCAAGCTTGGCGATTGAATTTTCAAAGATTTGTGAAAATTTGATTTGCGGGGTGAAAGGTTATATTCATAAAATTCTCAATATTTCTAGACTTTATACTCTCTCCCAAATGCCAAAAATAGAGTAAAAAACAGCTTCCTAATTTTTAGGCAATTTTCTTTGGGAACTCTGGGGGTTGTGGTTGTCAGCAACAATCATGTCCTCCCGTGCCAACTTGTGCGGTAGCTGCTGCTCCAGCTTGCTCAGACTCTTGCGGGGGACAAGGCTACGGGGTAGGATTTTTAATTTGCACAAGCTTAGCTATATGTTCCTTGGTTTGCTTTAACAAATGCTTTTTATCGTTTATGCAGTTTTCTCCAAGCTTCTTCCCAGCAGCTCAACAACCGCTTCCAGCACAACAACCTATGTTCTTTAACGTAGTGCTTTTTATTAACCTTACAATGCCTTGGTAATTCTTTATCATTTTAGACCGGCTCCCCAGTATATTCGGGCCCTCCACAACAAGTGCAACCCACGTTCCAGGTAACTGATTGATAATATTTCAGAATTATTCATATTTTTCAATCGTTAAACCTCAGAACCCACCAAATGTGATCTATACAAGTGGCCCTCAGCAAATGCCACGTTTTGAAGTAATTTTCTGCACAACAAGTTATAATTTAATCTAGCAAACAATAATAAAAAGTTTTCTCCAGATCCCACAACAATCTCCTGTGGTCTACGCCCAGCAACCCATCCAGCAACCCATCCAACAACCCATCCAACAACCAATCCAACAACCCAGCTTTGATGTGAGTTCAATAGCCAGTGGCAAACCGATGGCGGGGGGGGGGGGGGGTGGGGAGATAGACAGATTTCTGAAAGCAGCTTATATGCGTTATTAGTGGCTTATAATTCACTTGTAGATAATCAAGTTGATTTTTTAGATCAAAGTTAGCCAATAAAAACTTTTTTTCCAAATAATGGGTCCCCTAAAATTTGGAAAAGTTTCCCAAATGACTAGCGCCACCCCTTTCGTTCGGAAAACTTTCTGTTACGCCCCTCTACCCCCCCCCCCCCGAGGCGAACTTCTAGTCCACAAAAGTAGCGTACTTTCGAACAATCATTCTATTTTCAGGGCTCCTCCAACGCTATCTATGCACAATCACAACCAAGTCAGCCTAACTTCGAAGTAAGTTTATTTCGTATTCTATTTGCTAGGTAAAATTTGTTCGTCTCTTTGAGTTTTCCGAAGTATCCGGATATAACCAAAGGGGCTACGAAAAAATTTTTTCGGAGGGAGGGGAAAGTGGACAGCGGTAGACGTTTTTCAGACGGAGGGCCGTGTTAGCCTGCTCCTTACAAAAACTTTCACGAAGCTCCCATAGTTTTTTTTGCTTCCACCCTGAAATCTTGGGGAAAAGATTTTCAGAGCTAATATTAGTTCTTGAAAAGCTAGGAAGAACATGCTGATTATTTGTATATAGGTACTTCCACGAATTCGTAACTCTTTTTGTCATTTTGCAATTCCCACCCCTCGGTTCGCCACAGCGCACTGTTGAAGTACTCTAGGAAGACTTTGAGTACGATTGACCTAGACCTTGGAAGGCAATTTATACCTGAAGGTTTTAGCAAAACGAGACTTGACTTCAACATCGAAAAAACAAAACATAATATTCAAATCTAATGTGCAGATAAATCCTTTTCATGGATTTGTTAATAATACAAAATCTTTTGTGGAAAAGCTTTTTATACTTAAATGCTGTTAGTCAAACGAGAAGTAAATCCAAAATGAAAACATGTTGAGAAATACTCATCAAAATGCCCCTCAACCGTAATTCTAATTTTTACAGCCCGCATCTTCTGCGAATGTTATGGTTGAATCTGCACAACAAGAGCCACAAGAGGATAATTTTATGCCCGAAGGTAGAAAAGCATATTCCTAGAAATTTTGGGAACTTTCCAATAAGAAATTTACAGTGGTCCAGCCATCACAGAGCAGCGACTCCTCTTCTTACAACAGCCAAAAGCAACGCAAGGTGTTCGCACGCGGAGTAAAAGTAGGGTTTTTTTCGGGAAGATTTTTCCAGAAAACTTGCAAAATGATTTTTAGGCCCTTCTCAGAACTATTACCGGTGATGAAGATTATCTCCGTGAAACTGAAGGTTTCCGTAGATTGCGACGTGATACTGAGGCTGCATTTGATCCAAAGTGCAATTCGGAGGCCTTGAAGGACATCATTTTGAAGGTTTGCTCTGTACTTCACACTGTTTCTCAAAAAAAAAAATAATTTTTACAAAATTTCAGAACATTGGTGAATCTACGGCCATATCTAAACGTCGCATTCAAGAGACAGCAACGGATCAACTGGGTGGAAGGTAAGTTCAAATTTTTCATGCCACCTCAAAAAATCAATTTTCTTTTCAGAATTGATGTCATTTGCTCATCAGGAACATTCTCCTACATAGTAAACACCGAACTGTACTGTGAAACGGAAAAGAATGGAATCACATGTTTCGCGTTCCGACAAGCGTCTTAATTTGATGGTGATATGAGCAAAATAGAGCAATTTTAGCCAAAAAGGGTATTCAAACAAGTGCATTAGCAAACTGTTTTTTAGAAATATGGAGCATTACATTGTGACTAAATGTACTAATGTAAAGATTTCTTCCCTAATAATAAAGATTTCCACTCATTGTAATCTTTATTGTAAACACTGTTTGTTATATTTTATTACAATGAGGACTCAGAAGGATTCGCTCCACCTACTCAAGGTTAATCATGACAGTAAAGGAAAACTCTTGATAAGGATAACATCAGATGCTTCTTAATTGAAGAAGTCAAGATATATCTAAGGAAAGAAAAGAATTTTGTAAAACTGATAATTGTAGAAAGCTAAAAGTGTTCCACAAAAGGACTTCCAGTTTCTTGCGTAGTTTTGAGTAGTTTCTTCCAAGACCATCGTCATTTATGCTTTCAACCTCTCTTGAAATATAAGGTCATGTGAACAGTTTTAACGTATAACGCGCCTTTTCATTCTTAGCGATGACTCTTGAAGGTACAAAAAACTAGGTTATTCTTCATTTGTGACATGGTTCATGATGTCACCTACCGTTCATATATCCTTCACTCGCTTATTCTCCGCTTCTCGTTACGCATGCAGGTCTAGCATTTGCAGCCATATAGAGCAGTTGGACTGACTACAGTGCGTCATATCCAGACTTCAGCTTGTGACACTCGTTTGGCACTGAATTCTATGAGATTTCTCCGTTACGAAACTGCAGTGTTTTTGGTAGACACCACTCAGCGTTGCATCTGCGAGATGCGACTTTTTAGTTTGCCTAGTCTTTTACTAAGGCGCTTTTGTGTAGTTCCAAGGGTTCGAGGTACTTAGTTCCACCTTCGTCTTCGCGGTAATAATCATCATGCCGTGCATCTCGAGTACAGTTATTTTCACCTACACGTCCATCCAGCTGCTTCATCCGCTTCTTGCCATTTTAAACAGATGTTTCCGACTGTTAACTACGCCTGTATGAAGGGAGAATTGACAATACAGAGTCCAGATTAACGACAATTATCTGGAATTATTGAACGTCCCGCCTTTATGTACTGGCTAATAACATCTTATAACATTTTGATTCATTAACGTGTTCTTCTGGTGTCATGTGCTTCCGCAGCAACCACCGATGTGATGAGGTACTTTGTCGGATGCCTTCTCCAAATCGAAGAAAGTATCAACTAACTTGCTCGTTCCTGCTTCTTTACGTCGTATTCCTGACATCTAGATGACATGAGCTGTGATACCCCTTACAATGGCACTTTACAATGACTCGGAACCAGCTCCACGATGCTTTGCAGGTGCTTTTCTAGGGTTTTCTTGGAGTTTAATGCGTAGTACATGTAACGGACAGGGTGGAACGCGAGCAGTCATCGTTCGGTTTTATTTTGTATTTTAAATATGTGTGATTCTGTACCATCGGTTGGTTTATTCTTGGCCTTCATCATCTAATTCACAAACTGTATCAGCCACGTTTCAGTTTCAGGCATTCTGTTCTGGAACGTGTTGTAGACTTTTCGAGACTGTCGCCCCCCATTCTTTGTTTCCATGAAGGGACACAAATCAGTCCTCTGCAATGCTCTATGTGGGTGCTTGTCTGCTATGGTGGATGCGCGTTTCTCGCGGATGCCATTCTTGCAAAGTGTGTTCTTTATATAATTATCTACCGTGGCTTCTTGAGTATTTTTTACATTCTGATACCACAGGGATACACCAGTTTTTTTCGGTCTGTTGCGAATTCGCGAATTTTTTTGCATAGCTCTTCTGCATACTCGTCTTCCTTTTTGACTAATGGTAAGCATCATCTGCTCTTGACTACAATCAGTGCATGCTCTCTTTGTTTTTTGTACAATATTTGTGCTCCCCACCAAATTGTCGCCGGGAGTATCTAAATTACAATCTGACTCTAGAGCAACTCAAAGCTATTCATGTGTACTCTGCATTTGTCACCACCCATCTTCTCTTGTTGACAGATTTATCTAGTAACAATGGATTATGTTGGGATATGCAGCCCTCACCTGCTATGATTTCTGCATTGCTAGTTCAACGCTTTACTGTAGCCTGAGGTGAATAGCGCCTGGTAGAGTGTGTTATATAGAACACAAAAGCATTAGAGCTTTATTTAGACAGGCGACCTGCACATGTTGGTGCTTTGGTAGGTTGTTAAGAGCATAGGCGTTCCAAAGTTACACGAAAACATCTGGGCAATAAAGATACCTATATCACAACAGCTCATGCTTATGCATGACCTTAATGGTACTCTGGCAACACACAGTGAGGGTACAAAGAAAGTTGCCGATTATATCGGCACACTCCTCCCGGCAAGAGGAATGAAGAAATGAACTAAAAGGTGATAGCAGAGATAGTGATACAACAACATTTGTCCATGAAGCGGTCCTTTGTCTGGATCTAGTAATGGTCGTCGTTGCACCGGAACGCGAGAACACAGGGATCCTTCCTGTGGAGCGGCTGCCAAAAGGTGAAGTAGATGGGTCCAGATTATAGTGCAGGCCAATGGAAAGTGTTATTAACCCGATCTTCACTGTCACTGGTACTGAATGAAGTTTGTAGATTTCTTTTTTTCATTGTTTTTATATGATCGTAACTTTTGAAGGTGGCTTCTTTACTGATATCATTGGATGCCTTTGCCTGAGGCAATAGTAGTTTGACCTGCGCGAAGGTCAGGCTCTCATCTGCAACAGCTGGTAGTACATCAGTGTCTTCAGCCTCCTTGCAATATCCATCATTTTCACTATTCTTCTCATCATAGTTATGTTCGTCTGGCTTATAGTTTGCATGTGACTTGCTTTTGCTTCAGCGTATGGAAATCCGGTATGCAGTGTCTGTGTAGAATTTTCCTAGTGCTCCTGTGATTTTGTGTTGCAAATCTTTTTCTATTTTTGTGGCCAGTTCTATCTCAATATCTATAGCGAGCATTTTTAGCTTAGACATAAACAACTGAGGATTGTCGGATGTTCGAAAAAATCTTATCTATTCTTGAAGCGCGTTCGTTTCCTTTGTCATTGCTTGTCTCATTGTTTTGGAGCTTTCCTTGTAGTGCTTCTTCATGACATCAGTTTTGATTCCAGCTAGATTTTGCCACATTTGGATTCGTGATGCAAATTGGTTGTAGGTGCAGATGGTATAGGCAGAACACCTGTCGTTCTTGTTCGTCATCTAAAGAGTAATTCTTTCACCGTAGTGCTGGTATTTCTGCATTATATGCGCGAGATTCTGGTGTACGTCTTCAGGTCCTCTATGATGAGTTGAAGAGTTGTGGAAGCGGGGCATGATATCTGTCATGTTTGGTCGACGCACCAAATGTATCGCTGATACAAGACTTTACTGTAGTCTGAGGCGAATAGCGCCTGGTAGACCGTATTATATAGAACGCAAAAGCGTTAGAGCTTTATTGAGACAGGCGACCTGCACATGTTGGTGTTGTGGTTGAATGCTAACGATAATAGGAGTAGTAGAGTAACATAACAGACTATCACAGCAGGCCATGCTTATAGCATGACCTGTAAGGTACTTTTCAAGATACGGTTGTTAGAAAGTGCCGACAATGTCGGCACAATTTCCTTTCATATATTCAAAGCAGTGGCACATTTTTCGTTTACCTGGAGTTGTCTAATACGATCCCGAAACTACCTAAGATGCAAAACAAAACGAATAAAAAGCGGAATTTTTTGTCTTAAACACTACAGCCCGGACTTGGCGTGGTGTTTGATTAAAGAGGAGAGCAAGCTTTTACATTCAAGCTTAAACACTCTCAAATTTGTCTTGTTGTTGTGCCGAACACTTCAGAATTCTAATCACTGCAGTCTTCATTAACGTGCGTGACGAGGTGTCGACTCGTCTCAAGGAAGCATGTTTGCTAACGCCAGACCGGCAGCAGTAGCGCATTCTGAAATGCGTTTGCCTTTACTAGTGATTATCCTGTCACCATAGATTCCGTCACATCTCGATATCATTGCTCTCTCATATTCCCTTGAGGTGCTCAGCCCAGCGTCCGGCCAAGTCTCAAGGTGATATAATCATGCAGCTGTTGTCAAAAATCTTTTTTGGAGCTTCTAAACAGTGAAATGGCATCATCCTTCAGAACAATCTTTTCACGATATCTATACTCAAACTCATCGGAGTGTAAGTCATTAGATTCGCATCCTGTTCGTTGTTACGGAGTTGACCAGGGCCCGGCACAGATCGTATGGAAGCAAGCAGGACTTCGTTTTTGGGGCGAAAAAGCAAAGGGAATATTATTTTTGTCCAATTTGAGGGTTTTACGTTTAGGGGCTGAGAGTTAAAGGAGATTTCATAAAATTTAGCGAAAGTCAAGGGGGACTTCGTTTTCAAAACGCCTAGAAACGACGCCTCATACCGGGCCCTAACTGTAACCCTTGACTGTTCGTCGTCTGCCAAAATACGCTCTATTTAACAGAAGTTTGTCATAGAGGAACATTTTGATGCGACGAGGGTGTCGTTTCTGATTTGGTTTTTTATCGCGTGCTTCTTCGGATGGGCAATGTCTCTGAAATCTTGCGTAAAGCTTTGGCAAGCAGCAAACCCTTTTTCGCCGTGGACAGGAGCGTAACCTCTAATAAACTGTAAAAAGTTTTTCTAACATCGCAGTAATGATAAAAGCTTATTTGCTTCGCTCAGACTTTGCCAAAAAATTCAGTTTTGTCTATTTCTTATGAAGATTTTTGCAAGTATCTGTTCACAATTACCATTTGATTCAACTGGCTTGGCATCGGCAAAGGCGGGGCTTCGTGACCTAATTAAGGCTAGGTGGTGATCAGGGAGACTCGCGGGAGAGAGGCGCAGGTGCGTCGCGCGAGTGGCCTCAATTAGATCACAAAACCCCGCCCTAATGGTGCTAAGCCAGTTGAATCAAATGTTACCGGTAACAAATCCGTTGTCGAGGGTAAGTACTGAACTCAATACCTTGTATTGCTGATGCGCTGATGTCATCCGAACATAGAGCAAGCTAATGGCGATGCAGAAGTTTAAACATTTATTGTTGGAACTTCTACACTCAAGTTATTGCATGGATAAATGAACCAATGTATAGCACCCGTGTTGTTAGTGAAATTCATCACTACTGTGTGAGCTCCTTGTTACTTATTTAACATAAACGGAGTATAAATGTAAAATAAATTATATGAATAGCGAAATCGTACTGCCGTCAACGCGTTCAGCTTAATCAGAAACCAGCATCAGCAAGCTGTTTCGCAAGGTCAAACTCTGGATTATCTTGCACTGAGTTGACTGCTACTTTCTTGTCATCACGGGGTGGTAACAGTTGTCTTGGCAAATAGTTGAGCATTGTGTTCTCAACAACCTGAAAATGAGTTTATTACTAGATCAGGCACTGACAGGAAAAACTTTGAGTTGCGATTCTCATACTATGCTCAGATTTCTGCGCAGTCTCGGATAGTCGTGGAGAACTCTTACAAGGGGACGATCCCTAAAGGTGGCAAACTGGAATGAGCCGCATACCATCAGATGCGTCTTGATGAGCTGATTCCAAATCTACCTCTTTTAGATCCGCTATGCTGTTTTCTGGAAAAGGTTTTGAGCGGTTAAATGTGTGAAGTCATTATGGTTTTAATGTATAAAGTGCTTTGAAATTTCACTTGAATTAGCATGACTAGCATGATTTGATTGTACTGAGTTCAAAGAATGTTCACATCTTACGTAAACACAAAGAAGTGTTTTTTTAATCAATTAATTCTCCAGATATGGCGCTGTATATCTGCCAAGTCCGGACTTTACATTGCTCATAGTTTTTACTAAAGAACTTTACTTGTTTTTAGTTGTTCAAGAACACTACTTCGTGTTTTTTTAATGTGATCATTCCTTGATTTCAGTACACTCGTTATCATGCCAGTCATGCTTCCAAGTTTAATTTTGAAGCACATTATGCATTGAAACCCCAATGACTTCGCATTTTAAGCGCTCATAACTTTTTTTGCAGAGAACGGCGTTGCAGATATGGAAGGAAGATTTGGAATCAGCTCGTAACGACGCATCTAATAATATGCAGTTTATTCCACTCTGCCACATTAAGATGGGATCGTTCCCTTGTTAGTGACATTGAAGTTGTATACAGTATTTCTTATTCCAACGGCCGACTTGTGTAAATAAATGCACTACTTCAGAAATGATGCAATTGCAATTTAAACAACACTGAACCCTTAATTTCTAATTCGTGCAGTCGTCCTCGGGTTACCGTTTCATAGTTTTCTACTGCCATGTGAGGAATCACGCCGGTCTGATCATGATATTTTATTACATACATAGCTAATGATGATGAACTCTACAAACTAAAAATATCTATCCTAATTTCACGCGTACAGGGCGCGGGGGATTCTTTCCAAAATCGAGCAGCCCAAATACGTTAAAGAACTTCGCAATAAGGACCCTATGCCTTGCTGTATATTGCTTTAGAGAATCGTATGGTATAAGGATCGCTTTCCGAAATAATCTAAAGCGGCTGAGGGACTTAGTTGAAAAATCGAAAAGGTGCGCCTTGTATGCGTGAAATTAGGGTAATTGTTATAAAATGTTAGTTTGTTGAACAAAACAAACGACGCACCAGCACCTTTTCCAAGTGATGCCTTGCCAAACAGAAAACTAAAATCTAATGTCGGCTTGGATAATAAAGTTGACTACATCTCAAAAAAGACCAAAAATTTTGATGCAAGAAAAAAGGCAGGTCGCAAAAAATTTATGAAGTGTTGATCTCTGTTCGTGATTTTACCTCGTCAACCTCTCGAGTTCATTTGTTCATCAACAAACAGAAATTTTTTCATTCCTAGCTCCTCAGTCAAGGTTTTTCATCTCAAGAAGATAACTGATTATCGTAAGAAAAGTTCCGTGGCTTCGATGGTTTTGAGATAACAAATTGAACGCTGCAAATTGCTTTTAAAGTAGATACTCAGGCTAAGAAGAATCTTTTAAGAACTGTTACTGCGAGTAGGAATTCTATATGCTATGCGAGGAAAGAGTGAACAGCCTATTTGGGGTTTGTGTAAACATGAAGAATTCTGTTCTTTATGCAAATCTAATAAATTCTTCTTATATTTTCAAAGGTATTCATAATATACACCATTTCTTAGTATCCCATGCATTTTTAAATAAGAAGAAGCTACTTACAAAAATGCAGTTTCGTTATGAGAATGTAAACAAAAGTTTCGAGAAACACTCTAAAAACAAAAAAGAAATCCTGAAGGAAAAAGTTCAAATAGTATTACTTGTGGATGATTTGTAATCCCGAGAAGCACAGCCTGCGAGATTGGCGGTAAGTTAATTCATCGTGAAGTAAGTCAGAAAATTCTACAAGGCAGGTACACATGCTTTGATGATAAAACTGAGCTTTTAGTATATTGTGAATATTAAGAAGTTGAACCCAGAAGGTTGAGTTACATTGCTATATAAATATACAGCAAACCCTGAACGCTGACATCGGTGGAAGCTGATTATTGTTTTGGCGGAATAAATGATTTAGCAGGAGGAAACTGACAAAAAAAATTGCAAAAAATAAATCACAATCGAACCTTGCAACGAAATCTGTTTATCAGGTCTCTCAAACTCACTTTTGAACAGACCCTGAGACATTAAACGCTTTCATGAACTCGGACGCGGTGCGATGGTAGAAAATGCCCCAAGTAAACAAATGCCTATTGCAACGAACGCAGTAGTGTAACACCATATTTGGTGTGCAGATGGGCAAGTGAGAAACCTCTATTTTTACGAAATTTGTGAAAAATTGTTGTTCGCGATTTTGTTTGTTCGCGAGTGAGCCGTGGCAAACTTTTTGTTGCAATTTGCTGGAACTGTTCCGGCTGGGTGCAAGCTGGGAAAAATCTTCCGTCACATAATTTTCCATGATTTTAAATTGCCGCTGCATATAGTGCGTTTTCATACTGAGGAAAAACGGTCAAATCCTTTTTCTGACGTTCGATAATGGCGCAATCCTGCTCCGAAGAAGAGAATATGCGAGCGTATTAACGCGCTAATGTTTCATTTTCACCGTTGTTTGGTATTCATAGATGTTCGTCTTTCATCTCTCAATCTTAACAATTTGTGATCTTTTATTTCGAGTTGCTCAGTTCACTCGAAAAGTTTTTTTCCGCGAATAAACGACTGGAAACATTCAGTGTGCTTGTTCCAATTATTACGATCATACACATGTCTTAGAACGAGTGCAGTTGCTTGGCTAATTCTACAAGTATTCTAGATTTTAATGTTCGTTAACAACAATGAGTGTTGTAAACGCTGTTAAGAAAAGGATGCTTCACTTTTAGAGAGTTTTAAATACTATTATATAAGGATCACTCTTGAAGTGCCTATTATCAACATTCAAATCAAGAGCTTTTTTTGTAAAGGTATAATATTTACCTTATAATGCTAGTAATATTAGGTTGTAACAAAATTAATGCAGATTTTGAATTCCAACCGCAATAAGTCATGCACTTCTCATTTCTAAGTAAGTTGCAAAACACCATTCGATAGAGCAAAGCAATCTCTACAAGGTGGCAGTCTTTTAGCGACAACTCTGATCCACCACGAGTATCGAGCCAAAAAACAAAAAGATTCAACTGTCCGAAAATTTGAGAAAAATCGTAACTCAGTTCATAAAAAACCTACAAAAATTCTAACTTGCTCACATAAACACAATCCACATAGGGCATCTATACACGCCATTGTCGTATTTTTTCTCTGTTAGAAATGAAGTAAACGGAAATTTTCATGCATTTGCCAAAGTGGTGCTGTGCCGTTCCCACATAAGTTGTTGTATACTACAGACACGTAGAAGTACAAACGTAAATTTTCAGCTCTCTGCAAGCTTTAGTTCTCGAGAAATTTGAATTTAAGCTTGGACCACATGACTAGCGAAAACTGTATTCCGTATTTTTCGAGAACTAAAGCTTGTAGAAAGCTGGAAATTCACGTTTATACTTCTACAGGTCTGTAGTTTACAACTACTTATGTGGGAACGGCACAGCATTACTTTGGCAAATGAACGAAAATTTCCGTTTTTTTGATTTCTAACAGAAAAAAAATACGGCAAAGGCGTATATAGATATCTTATGTGAATAGTGTTTACGTGAGCAAGTTAGAATTTTTGTAGGTTTTTTATGAAATAAGTTACAATTTTTCTCAATTTTTCAGACAGTTGAATCTTTTTAGTTTTTGGCTCGAAACTCGTGGTGGATCAGAGTTGTTGCTAAAGCAAGATTGGCACCTTGTAGAGATTGCTTTGCTCTATCGAATGGTGTTTTGCAAACTACTTAGAAATGAGAAGTGTATGACTTATTGCGGTTGGATTTCAAAACCTGCATTAATTCTGTTACAACCTAATACTTCTGCATCATAGAAGAATTTTCTTCTCGAAGTCTGCGAGTTGCCAAAAATGAGTGGCAACGCAAAAATTTCTTCTAAAAGAACGCGCTTGGTAGATCTCCAGAGTGTTCAGTTTGTAAGTTTTGTTGTCGTCAAAATAGTCAAAATCATCATTTGTTGCACGAAGACCAAATAGCTTCACTATGTTAGTTTATGAGCAAAGTTCGTTTAAGCCGAAGCACGCATACTTGAGCATGAACATTATCGCCAGAAAAGGCAGAGAAGCTTCGAGGAAGGCCCGTAGTAAACCCCCATCAGGGCACCTCTCTTGAGGCGGGCCGGAGTTGATCTCATCGCGCCTCAGCACATTGCCAGGGGAGCGATTGATTTGGAGCAGATCACTTACTGGATGTTCGCGTTTTCAAAGGTGGAAACGTTTCTGCCACTAGTGCACCTTAAGTCAAATGGATAAGAATATTGCGTTTCAAGCGGCAGGCCGTGGTTCGAGTGCGGCTAGCAACACCGTTTTTGCCACTGGGCTGGCGACCTTTGATAACGGCCGCTGTCGAAAGAATCGATGATAGCCGCTATCAGAGATGTCACCTGGCAAACAAAGAGATAAAACAAATACGCATATTTTGGCATTCATACAAAGAAAGATTACAGTTGGGGAAAAATGAGTAGAAAGGTAAATTTACTTTCTTTTTATCTGAAGCGGTTCACTATCAAAAACAAGCAACATCCGCAAGAAAAATGCAAAAAAATCTTTTTTTCCATTTCGTCGCGCAATCAGCTGTTCATCGATCTTCACTCACTTGGGCGCCCGAAATTGTGCAGTTTTGGGAGTTTTGCACCGCAAAAGAACGTCAGCTGCGATGTTTCGTAAGTTACTCGGGAGCAGCTTACGGAGGATTTCTCTGTGCTCTCCTCTTTAGCACAGTATTTACCTAACGTCGTCGCCCGGCTCATCTCCGATAACTCGGCAGGGAGGTGACCCTACCGGGCTTCATCTGAAACTCACCTGTAGGGTGACCTTCTATACTTACACTACGAAAACGCGGAAAGCCCTCATCTCACCCGGCAAAACCTCATATGAGAGCCTCAGGGGAGATCATCTCCCGTGACCGAGCTTTACTACGGGCCGAAAGCTTCAAATGTGAATCGGTATTCCGATTGCGTTGTCTCTCTAACCTCAAGTCTTTCTATTATTTCTAATTGCAGAAATAACCAACAAAAGCGCATTGCCGTTGCCGTAATTCTTTGAATTAATAAATCTGAAGTTATAATCATTTGATTCTACACATTCTAAACATGTTTCTGAATAGGGACAAATTTGTCGAAATGGTGGAAACTGACAAACCTCAACTCGAAATCGGATTATCGGAACTCGGGACATGAACCTTCAATAGTTCATTTGCTCTTATCAGAGACATGCTTGGCATATAGGAAGAGAAGTAACGTATACTAGAATTGTGAATTTTTTCATTAACTTTGCAGAAGGAGTTATGACTTTGAAGTAGAGAAGGTGGCTATTGAGGATTATCGAGGAACTTACAAGAAATCGAAAAGTGCGGTTATACGGTAATGAAAACAGTTGAGGATGGATAAAGCGTGGATCATATGTTCGGAGCTTCAGGATATGTGAGTTCTTCATGTTAAACGCCCTCCCCACAAGGCTGTTAACAGATGCTGCCCTATGATCTATAAATTGATGAGAAATGACAGCACGAAAAAATCGAAAAATTACTTACACAGGCCACCTTTGATAAAAACTAAAAATTACCCACAATTACACATCATATATACCATATGATGTGTATATATGATAGGCTGATAACTTACGAGGGAATGGTCAGCAACTTAACTAGCCAGTTCAAACAAGCTGCGTGCCATATGCAGCATAAAATGCTGACTTTGAGTTTGTATTAGATTGGTCCGAAAGTTCTTGCGCATCATTTTCAAAAAATCATAACTTCCTTGACCCTCGATGGATTTCGTTGAAATTATATCCATTCGAAAAAGGAGTCCATTCCTCTTACATGAGTATTTTTTTCATGGACTGGTATTAGAAACTTCGAGAGTTACAAGCAATCGAAGGGAATCACTCAAGATCGGCAATTTTCGAGGTGGCTCACGAAAAATTCCGTAACTATTTTTATTTGATAGAGAAAATTATGCTCATTACAATGGCACCTTTCCCATGAGCTAAAACGAAAAAGATCGAGAGCAAATCAAGAGAATTTTTTCAGTTTTGCAGTTTTTGAGCATGCTCAAAAAAGCCTAGAAATGTCACAGAAAATGCGGGAAAGCCATGAACATGGGTTTTGTGACCTTCTCTTTTTAGCTGAGTGAAAATCGTGCTAATCGAGAGCAATTTTGATTTTCGTGAAAAACGCACGCCCGAAAATACGATAAGATCACAAAAAACAAAATTGTTCTTGATTAGCACAACTTCCACTCATCTAGAAAGAGAAGGTCACAAAACCCATGTTCATGACTTTTTCGCCCTTTCTGTGACGTTTTTAGGCTTTTTTGAGCATGCTCAGAGACTGCAAAACTGAAGGAATTCTCTTTATTTGCTTCTAACTCTCGAACTTTTTCGTTTAGCTCATGAAAAAGGTACCATTGTAATGAGCATAATTTTCTCTATCAAATAAAAATACTTCCAGAATTTTTCGTGACCCAGCTCAAAAAATGTCAATTTTGGCTGATTTCCTTCAACTACTTGTAATTCTCGAAGTTTCTCAAATAATTCATAGCGAAGGTGCTGCTGTAAAGAGCATGGATTCGTCTTTCGAATAGATGTAACTTTAACGAAATCTATCGAGTGGCAAGGAAGTTATGATTTTTTAAAAATGATGCGCAAGAACTTTCGGACCAACCTGATATTTCATATCTGCGTAGCGCCTATGTGGGCGAAGATATGAGCCGTTAAAAGCCGTTATTTTGCTAAGAGAGCACGCAAAGCGTAAATTTGGCAGTACAAAACCATGTTCGGCTTAGTGCTAGGCCAAAACACGCAGCTAAGTGTACTTTATTCTTGAAGCCTAAAGGTAAGCTGAAAGTGCAACAATGCGGTTGATTTCACAATTTTTATGCACAATTTTTTCTCAACAAAACTGCTCTTAACTTAGTCCACAAAGGCACTAAGCAGCTATGGGATATGTATTCGAAATTAGCGATGTTGCATCGAATGGCAAAAAGCTTGCATGGAATGCCCACTTCGACTTCTAGCCATTCCCTTGTTAGCAAAAATCGCAAAAACGTTATACTAGCAGGAACAAATTATTCTCAAAATCTTTTTATTTAACACATTGGCATTAGATGCCCTTAAAGGCATTGTCCAGGTCAACTGGGGGGGGGGGGGGGGATTTTGGCGCAGTGCGGGAGCACGGCTCCTGACTGATGTAGCATTTCAAGTTCAATCGAAAAAGGTGATTCTGAAGCGAGAAATCGCTTTGGAAAAAATGGGCGGTACGGTAATCCCTCCTCCTTGATAAGTCTTGACGTGGCGATTGCTGTAGATCTGATGTATTAACCACGTGAAAACGTGTCGAGGAAGTGGAATTAGCGCATCTCCCTTTTTTCTGAAGCGATTTCCTCGCTTCAGAATTCACCCTTTTTGATCGGACAACTGTTGCATTAGTCAGCAGCCGTCCTCCCGCACTGCATCAAAAGCAAATCACCCTCCAGTTGACCTGCACAGTGCCTTTAACTTTCTGTTATCAAGTGTTAATTGTAAGAAGAAACCCAGTTGTCAGGCGCATCATATTTGAAGATTCTTGAATTATTAGAGATAGACAAGGCGTAGAAGAAAGAAGACTTCTCATTAAAGGGTATAATTTCTAGATAGTTAGCAGAGGATTAGCTCAAGAATTTTATGGAACATGCATGACGCAAAAGGAAGACAGCGTCTACACAATTTTGCGAGATGCAGAAAGGTTACCATGCAATGACGAAAATCAACGTATGTGAAAGATGCGAAAGGAACAACAAAGTTGTTTCATTGAGGTAAAGTCCGCCATATTCAAAAGTGCCTTCAAAGAAAAGGTCTAGGATACATGTGCGATTTCGTTTCCCAGTCCCGTTAAAGCTGTAGCACTAGAAGTGACCTCATTGAAACTCTCAATGAGGTCATTGCTAGAGCTATACAGTTTATGACCAGCCTGATCAAGCGATTCAACGTTAAACGTTAATGCGGAAGATAGAAGAAACTACTGCTGTCCTACCAGCCTGATCAAGCGATTCAACGTCAAACGTTAATGCGGACGATAGCGAAGAAACTACTGCTGTCCTCGAGTACGTTGGAAATAATGATCAAGACCGTAATTTTAAAAAAAACTTTTTTTCCTTACAATTTTAATGGGCCACCGCCTAAAGACCTTTGATGAGGTACCTGTTGTTTCTTTTATGGACAGTTGTCTGATATTTACAAAAGGTGGTACATGCAATGACTCATACACACCTGCATCTACCTATACCACGCTGGATCTTACATCTAAGTTGATCTCGCTCGTAAAAGACACATTCAGAAGTTATGAATGTTCGCTTACCCGAGTGTAATGTCCCTCATTGCAGAGCGAAGTGGTACACACGCATAGAAGCGATGGAGCCTAAACACACTAGATCACGAAAAAATTAGGTTTTGGTGATATTTTGCACCGAGTACCACTAGTGGGGGTGGAGCTGGAGGAGCATCATAGGACCAATCTGGTCGAAATGTTGTTGTTCCCTGTCAATATTTTGGATAATCTAAATTCAGCCACATTGAAACAAAACTTACAACATTTGTATTTTGGCAAAAGCTTGCTCCTGGAAACAGCAAAAGATATTGATACAGTGTTGAGCCGGGGCTTGTGCAGAATTTTCTTACACGAGCTTGTCTACCACTTCCAAACACTGCCATAGAACATGAAGTTACACCGCCTGGACATGTAACTTTCTGAAATTTGCAAAGACTTTCTATTGTTTGTCTTTGAAATGCTGTTTGGCGCCCTTCATAATCTTGCCATGTTTATTAATACTATCACTTGCCAATTACTAAGTGCTACCACAGCAACAAGGGCACTGCACATGTTTTCATTCAAAAACACTTCGATAAAAACTCATTCCAAACAGCCCAACAGCAATCAATACTTCGCTTATATTTGGAACGATAATACCATGTAAGAGAAATTATAAGACGGTGAAGGTGAAAGCAAGAGTAGATCTGCTTTTTTCAACAAGAAGTAGTATGTAAATTTTATAAGAAGTCAGCGTTACCCTGCTATTGGTATACAAACATCTAGAGCTCTTATTCGGCAATTTATGTGTTCGTATTTGCTATGAATTCATACTATTAAATATCTTCGTCAATGTTGTAGATTAAAAGGAGTGAGATTGAAGGTAAGTGACAAGCACAATCACAATTTTCTAACAAGAAAAGGAGCCTCAGTCGAAGTTGGATTTCCATTTCCGCAGGTGATGCATATCATTCTGCTGCTTCTCTTAGGGCACTAGTACCAGATCCGTGTTCCTTAGCTGCTCAGTGATCCTCTGAGAAAAGTTATGAGCGAGGGTTCCTCACGATGACCACTGCACATTATAAATTCGGGGCGGCTAAGAATGTGCAGTTGAAAACGGACGGGCGGGTGGATAGCTGCGGAAACTATGGCGCAGGTGATGCAGAGTTTGCGTTCGTATGGAACCAAACTTTACATTTTTGCAAATTGTATTTTGTGAATTCGCAGGCGACCTTCGACGAGGGTCTGCTTGCTCAAAAGTCGACTGCAAAGTTACAAAATACAATTTGCAAAAATACAAAGTTGGCACCATAGGGACGCGAAATCTTCACCATTTGCGTCATAGTCTCCGCAGCTATCCACCCGCCCATTCGTCCACACCTGTACATTCCTTGGCGCCTCAGACTTATAATGTGCAGTGGTCATCGTGAAGAACAGTCGCTTATAACTTTTCCCAGAAGATCATTGAGTAGCTAAAGAACACGGACCTGGAATTAGTGCTCCAAGACCAGCAGTATGATGTGCACCACGTGCGGAAACCCCACTTCGACTTTTTTGACCACGATTTGTCTTGCGTTAGAGGTCCCTAGTATATGACAGAAGACCAACAAATGATATTAGAGCCACATAATCGAGACAAATTAGGCTAAAAATAGGAACAAGGAGATCACTCATGAAACAAGACAGATTCTTTGAGAAGGCAAAGATTCTTTGTAAAAGTATTGTGTTCCTCCTTCCTCCTTGCACGTTTGAGTACACATTATACATGGGGCTATACGTTACAGATGATGAAGGATTGTTTGCGTACTGTTTGTGTAAGCCCTAAACTTCCTATTTCGTTTCTTAGAATGACACTGCAGCCCGATCTGTATCGTCTTGGAAGATAATCTCAAAATCCTTCCAAATCAGCGAACCGATCATCTTGGAAAAGTTATGAAAATTCGCAAAATTCAAAAATAGTGCAAGTTAATTAAAAATGCGTATTCGTGCTGCACACAAACCTACCAACTACTTGAACTCCATACGTATTTGGCGAATTACAGAAAAATTTTTCTTCGTAAATTTTTTAAGGGACCGTTTGGCAATTTAAAATGCAGATTCGAGATCACTCAGGGCTTCTATGGGGCGGTATACACCCCATCACAAATCACCAGACTCCGTGTTCTTTTTTTATTGCAAGTGTTTGTATGGAAAATTTTTATGTTGTTTTTCAGGACACTGAGTGCATATGCATGGAAATGACAAAATGGTAACGAAGTCGAAATGCTGGATATTTTATGTGTGTTTGAAAGCAAGGATTCACCTTTGGATACCCGAAATTTTGAGCATGCTACGTAAACCTGCATCATACGATCAGAAAAACACATTACAAGAATTGCCAAATCCCACGTGCCAAGAGATATAGTCAACTCCGCTCAACTGAGATTACTTATAATGAAAAACATCACTGCGCCCGACGTGATCGTATGATTTTTTTAAGCAAATATCCACCGCCATATCGAAATACCGTCGCACATTTGTCTACTTGTATGCGCACAGACTTCTGCTAAATTTCGAAATTTTCAAGTGTTCAAAAACAATCCTTGGTTGAGAAGTGAGATAGGAGTGAAGGAACTATGAATGTTATCAACTGACAGCGGAGATTCGATGGAGAAAAAGCTTTAAGTTTCTGCAAAAACATGGAGATTTAACTTCAATACATTGATCACTCAAAGATAGTCTACCTGATCTATGCATTCCCGTCCTTTATGCGTATTACAGCTGTAGCACTGAAATGCCGAGCAAAACTCGAGAGCAGCTACGAGCAGAAAACAGAGTGTGTTCCACAGCATCCTAAATAACACATTCACGTACGGCGCGTTGAAGCGTCGTACAACCAAGGTCATCACGCATTATTCAGGAAAAGATTAGCCTTTCGGGACAAAATCACGACAGACACTGATACGCATGGAAGGGGATATATAAGACGAACGCTTTGCAATAATGCACAGAAATGATCAGACCATAGCTAACGAAGACACGGAAAAAGACGAAGAGACCAGATTATCAGTAACTGTATATGTAGCAACTGGTTCCGGGCAGAAATGATGTGGAAAGAACGCAGAGGCAGAACATCGCCGCCTCTAGCGCCAAGCAAACAAATCATTTGGGCGTAAGAATAACATCGTGTTGATTTGAGCGCTTATCACACTTCGCGTATATATATGAAACTATGAACTGTAAATAAAGAGGTCCAGAAACGATGTTGACACAGAACGACGCAACAAGAGGTTTTCAATGGAATGTCTCCTCTACAACCAAATCATATACTACACCAAAAGGACAAAAATATGCGACGTGCTCTATTGAGCCTTTTTAATTGCGCGTGATTTGAGAGGAAATGTGGTGGTCATGCTTGGAAATCTTTCGTAAATCAAAAACATTGCCAAGTATCGCTCCAACTACCATTTAAGCAGTCGAGTAATTTTCCTTGCTGATGAGTGCAATCGCACAACTTCCGAGTGTGAGGCGCAGCCTTCCAGGTGGAAGACGCGACCTATACATAGTCCCTGAAAGTGAAATGATGTAATAGAAATTAATTTTGCTTGTGTATTACTGAAACAACATTGAATATATCATTGAATGAATTTGGGTTGGTGAGAAATTTTGTGGGACCGTACAATTTGTTTTTTTTTTTGACAGTCATATGCTTTTAGAGTTTATTGCAATAATTTGAAAAACTATTAGATTGTCCCAAAAGTAAACTCCATTTTTAAATAAATTGAGCTGTTTTTGTTTTTCTGACAATTTTAGGGTACCATTCGATAGAGTGGGACAAGTCCTACATAAAGACCACCACGGATCCACGTAACCAGGCCAAATTTATAGCCAAAAATGAAGATTTTCTGCTACCTCAAAAATCAGACCTCCTTCCAGAAGATTTCTACGGATTTCCAGTTTGGTCTTTTTATACTATAGTAGACACATAGTATCCAAAGCTGTATGTGGTCGATTTTTTTTCTGAAGCTCAAAACTGAGAAACAAAGATGATTCGAAAATGCCAAAATGCCAATTTTTTCGGGATTTCCATGTAAAACTTGCTATTTCTCGATCATAAGAGCACATACAAGGGTAAAGTCTTAAGGTTATACTCAAAAAACTTGTGGTTTACAATGACTTATGTGGGAGGGGCCTGGGAGGCGGAGTTTGCCATTTTTGGACTGCCTTTTTTCTCGATTCCTATGCGCGTAAAAAAATCCAGTAAAGGCATATTTGTGTACTACCGTATGCCTACTGCATACTAACTGAGTTGGGAATCACTAGAATTTTTCCTTGCGAAAATGTAATTTTTAAGTATCAGAATTTTTTTTTCAATTTTGGCTTCAAACTTTACATGGAATGCGAGTTAGGCGAACCCTAGTGGTAATTTTGTAGAGCTTGATCTGCTCTTTTGAATGATCCCCCAAGTCTGAGAATAGAACAAAAACAGCTTGAATTATTCAAAAAGCAGTTTACTTTTGAGACAACCTAATCAATCTGTTTCGAACTGTCGGAAAGCCTCCTCGTTTACTTTCCGCCCGAAAAATTCGTGTTTGTTGCTGCTAAGACCTAAACTGCGGCCGGCTCTATTTTAGAATTTGTGCAATGGTATACATTGGCAAGGATTCCTACTTTTGCAACTGGTCAGCCTAGATACTTCACCTGGTAGGTGCTATCGCCGTGCTGCTTTTGACTTTTTCCGTTAGCAAAGCATCAGCAAACCATTTTTTATTTTTTTCCAATTGTTTCACACTTAAAAAGTTCAAGCTTGAAATCAAAAATTTTGAAGTCATATAAGTCTTGTTGAAAATGGATTAGCATTTAACCGAAGCTTCAAAAACAATAAATTTCTATCAGATAATTTTGAAATGTGCCCTGACCGAGTTATAAGAAATCGTGTACAGGTTCCATTAAATATCGAGGTAAATGCGCTGGGTACCAAGCGCATAAGAGATGATCAAGATAAAAAAATTCTAACCCATCAATTAATACGTTTCGGACCGCGAGATCGCGCGCGGCAAAAAAAAGAGTGTACTTTCAGCCGTAGCCGACAAAGGAACCTTATTTCATAGGTTGTGGGCTACATCTGTAATTAGCATATCAGATAAGCTTCATACCCAAAGTTCTGAGTGAAATTGAAGTGTTCAAATTTTGCTGCTTGAGAGTGACTTCCGTGCTTTCTTGAAAGACAGGAATAAGAACTCAGTTTCTATTAGTATTTAGAAACATCTATGTTGTACACGGTACACATCACTACTGAAATTAGGGGTTTTGTCTTTGAAATCTAAGCAAAAAAAGTTGCGACGTCGCACGCGTCGCTCGCGTTGCCGCACTTCGTTGCGACCGTTGTTCGAGTTGAGCCATATCTCCTAAATAGATATCGGCAGCACAGCTCTATAGAGTCATTTGGAAACTAGGAGTTTAAGCCTTTGACTTGGACTCCTGGGCTGAAAGAAGACCTCCTGTAAGCGTCAAAACGATCCTTCAAAACATCGTGCTGCATTATGTGCAGCACCGGTCCGAAACGTGTAAAATACGCTCAAATCTACTTTATTCACTTGTTTTTGATAAAGTAGTGCTGAGAAGATTCGAATGGACATATCAAGCGTAACACAAGCGTCATCGAAACGAGAGTATCGGGGTCTATCTACCTTTTTTGCTTTTACCGCAATATTGCTGAAGTCTTCTTTCTACACACTACTTTTTTCTATTCGCCTTCTACACACTACTTTTTTCTATTCGCCTAATATAACACTCTTGTTTTTTTGAAAAATGACGAATGCCGCAAAAGTTAATTTTTACCATATGCTGTGAATAAAGGTTCATTTAATAACACTAAGGAACTGGAACCCAAAAGAAGACGTTAGCATACAAGGCAGAATCTGCTAGCAAGAGTAGTCCTTCACTTTTCGTTAGTGGTTTCGATTATCCGAACGTTTTTCCAAAAGCGTGTTCAATGGATATGACCCTAGATGAGCGACATATTTCCTGCCATTACTGCATTTCACGAATGAAAAGTTCTATACGCTAAGATTCAATCACACCTATGATTAACGTTTTGCAATAACCCTCGTTTGTCCAAATCTACGCAAGCGTTTGCGTGAGTACTCAACTTTACTGATAGCAATACTAAGCGGTGAAAACATCAATACAAGAATTTGAAGAGAGGATTGAAAAGTTTTGAAAGCAAACCTTAGCATGATCCGCATGGTATGGTTACAAAGAATAAGTAGCACGACAATTATTATATTCTCACCCTTTAGTAAAAAAAACAAGTTGACAAGTTACTGCAGTCTAATTACAAGGAGAAGTTTTCTGACAATGCACTGTGGTCTAATTGAATACGTGAGATGTGCAATAAAAGGACGCCGAACACATATGGATACGAATAAATCCACGGTGTCCAAATGGATCACAGCAGTAAAACAACGGTGGGACTGTTTAACCCAGATGTTGCGAATTTTTTTAGACCTTAGGGTTACTCATCTGGTGAACGAAGAAACGTTCAAAGGTGTGTGAGCCGTCTTTTCGTAATATATACACCTCAATTTGATTTCAATCTTGACATCGATAAACGGAATTTTCCCACTACAACAAAATCAAAGTACACCTGAAGAAATGAGTATAATACTCACTTCTTGCAGTTTCGTACACCTAGTCATTGAGATTTTAGATTTAGAGCACTTTGTCTTACGAGAACGAAACAAAGTGACAGCGATTCATGAAATAATGAGCAGTGCTGCCATGGAATTCGAATCGAAAGCGTGACTTAAATATCCATTGAGGATTGGAAACTAAAAACGTAGCTGCATGACACCTATCAACACAAATTAAGACGTACGCTTTTGTTACTTGCACGGTCGCCTATCTGCATATAGCCTTCTTCAATACAGTAGACACCTGGTAGAAGATTGTAAGTTGAAGTGCAGGACAATTACAGAAGAGAGCATCCTCATCCTCTATTTGATTTGCCTTAGACAGTGACGTGCTCTACCACTAACCGGCCTACCCTAGTGAAACTCATCTCGTTCACCAAGTGTCTACCGAGATAAGGGCGACTGCATCTAATTTTTTCTAGTTTTAGTTTTTTCTAGTACTTTATTTGATAAAATATGACAGTCTTCTTGTATAGTAAAATTGTGGTGAAAGCAAATTTTCAGAGTGCCTGATATTCGCGGCACGCTATATAAAGCGGCACGGCTTGGCTCAGATCGTCTTTACAAGCTTTATCGAGTGCTTAGTCACTTTGCTTTCGGAGTCAATTGTACAGGATCGATCTACGAACCAACAATGAGGACGCTAAGGATTGAGCCAAACGCACTAATCGCGCTAATCAGTTCCCATTCATTTTTCTGTGATGCCGCTAAATGTGAAAGTTTGTGTTCAATTCTAGTTCCAACGACAGATAAATGATAGCCCCATTTTTTAGAGCTTCAGAATCATTTTCATAATGTGGCCCTATTAAAGTTTCGATCTACCAAAGCGGATGTCATTTTCTGTTACGGAACGGTTGAGAAATTCCTATAGATAGTGTAGCCCATCTAGTAAGTAAGGAAAGCCAGAAACGCTTTGCTTTGAAAGCATCCTAAGCTTAAGAATTTGCCTAGCATATGGATCATCATTGACGAAATGGGAGTAACGTCAATAACTTATGAATTTAAGTGGAAAAACTTGAAACATCTGTTGAGAAGGAAGTCAATAACATATTCATGAGGACTGTGTGAAGTGAGTAGTCAAGCTTAGGTTTCTTTCATATTTAGTCCAAGCAATCGATACCAATAACGCAAGAAAGCATTGTACTCTCTTTGAAAGCTTTGTAAAGTCCTTACTCTTACCAATACACAAGATACATGAACAAGATACAGCAAGCTTATTGAGTGATGTTTCGGTTGTATGAATCAGCACATTTTTGTTTTTATTACAAAAGTACTGAAGGCTGCACCTGCTGGCGCTGGTAAAGTGCATTAATGTATGACACCTTTAACCCCAAAAAACTTTCGAATTTTTCTAAGATGGATATATCCGTCTTAGCCAAATACGAAAGATTTTTGAGATAAAGGTAACAATACAAATTTTTTATTGCCACTTATGCTCAAGTAAAGTTGCTAGGGGAGTGTGTGACGTAAACTTTTTCTAGAACACTCCAAAAATAGAAATAAACTAAGAAAGATAAAACGGAGGTGCGAAATTTTGGGCCATTAAGTAGAGATTAAGTTCTCAAGATATTTTTTTGTTTTAATTGAATCTGAGAGCATTCTGTAATACCGGCTCTGAAAATAATAAATTTTTGCCCCTTAAGTTGGAAAACAGCACCAGAGGAGCAAAGTTGAGGAACAAAGGAGAAGTAGTTTTTACAAGCAAATGGTTGCAATAACTTTTGAATGTAAACTAAAATATTGCCAAAAGTAGTAATTTGATAAATGAAGATGCAGAAATCTGAGCGATGGAACATCGAAGAATATCGAAGTAGCAGCTAAAACGTCGCACCTGCTTCAGCAAACTTCTCTCACTATCCTTGAAACCAGATTTGGGACAATAGATGCTTTAACTGCAGAGATAGTTCTTTGACCATAGAAAAAGAGGAATTGACGCGGCCTGATGCCATGTAATTTGCAGATTTTATGTTAAGAAGTGTCGAATGGTAGATGACGGGTAAAAAAAATTAGCATTTGTGTAGGAACATTTGTAGACACATGAAGTCTTTGAAACACGTAAAGTACTTCTTCCAGAAATCCCTTAAACAACTTTAACATATAGCAGCGGTGCACGATCATCGCTAACGGTGAAAACCTAAACCAGTTGTGTCGACGTACGCACGGTTGGTATACAGACAGTAACCTTCATGATTATACGGAAGCATTTTGTTTGTGTTCTCTAGTTCTTGGCCATCAAGTATGTTAAGAGTATATTAATGTGCGAAAATTATTTGGCAATGTACAATCTATAAATGGACAATTGGAAACCAGTTTTCACCAGGCGCCAGAGGAGAATGTGCGAAAAGAAAAAAATAAAGTTTGTGATGTTGGTTTTCGTGGATTCAACATTTGAGTTTTTTTATGAAAAGTAAAATTTATTGTTCGATTCAAAATTGGTCAAAGAATGTGGCGTTTTGAAGATTTGTTTATTTTTTACCAGCTAGCAAACCCGGTCCAGGTTAAGCACTCAATTGGTCCGAAGCGGTAACGGGGCTCTCATTTAGCATGCTGCTTTCCCTCCTGCTACTTTTACATTGTGTCTTTCTCAATTTACCTCATTCCTACACAATGTGACCTTCTGCCTCTTTCTTTCTAATCATCACATGCTAGACTAGAGCTTATATACCAACCTGAGATTACCAGCTATACGGCCTCTTTGATCACTGCTGCCTTCTCATCCCTGATTAAAATGGGAAAGAAAATGGAGAGAGAACGAGAAACGGTCCCAATACTGTATCTAGCATTTAGATTGGCAAAAATGGGACTGAACTCAGAAACGATTACGGCAATCGCATCGTGGGACTCCTCTGCACCTCATGCCGTACATAGGAGCACCGATGGATGTGCAGGGGAGCACAAAACGGAATGACTTGAAAAAAGACTACCTCTCACCAATTTTAGATGTTGCGTACATGGTGACTTAGCCCACCCAACTGAATAGCACCTAACAAAGATCATCCTCACTCTAACAAGGGCACGGATTGGAACAGCATTGACAACAAGTTCAAGAAAGAGGTTTCTTTGCAAAAAACCCATGACGTAAGCACGTTCTTGTTGGCTAGTTGTCACAAGGAGTTGTCACAGTTTTGCTATGGCGCTGCCCAACAGCTATGGCGTTGCTCAACAGCGCCATAGCAAAACCCGCTGACCACTTAATTTAAGCTCCATCGCGTGATATGTACTTTGTTGAAGCCATTCAAGCAGTCTTTCACTGGGTGACAATTTACATGGGACGATGAAGGAATACGAGTTAGTGAAAGATTGTTACATTTTTGTCTTGCAAATGATGTCGTTATTTTTATGAGCAGCATTAATGAAGCAAAGACTATGCTGAACTGATTGAACCGTTGAGAGTAAGGTAGACGGGGCAAAGGGAAATTAGGAGCTAGCCTCATTGTCAAACATGAAGGCGTGATAAAATTCATTCACTCATTTGCTCTCATGTTTGTTGTTGTATATCTTATTTTAGTGAAACAGATGAAAACCTCCAAAAAAAACTTATGACTAAAAGTAAGGTAAAAATGGCGAGAACTGGAGTTAATTTGTAAGTGAAAAAAATGTCACAATTATTCGATCCATATGGATCAGTGATAGAGTTGCAGAAATGCTACGCGGACGAATATTATTACAAAAAATAATGCTTGGAGTACAGAAGAGATTATTTGCTCATTATGCCGAGCAAGCTGCGCATTGCTTGAACATACTTCAGCTATATAACGATCAAGGTTTCAACTAATTTATCAAACACCGTTGACAGTCATGTTTTCTACAAGTGAAAAATTTGATTTGATTTTCAGTCAATGAAATCATCACATTAGTGCTACCGGACTGAGTGAGTATGAGTTAGGGCAAGACGTGAGCAGAATTATTTTTTTATTGTCCGAGGAAATCACGTTTGAACTGAGCACAGTAAAGTTACGTGACTGCAGTGAAAATTCGATAGATTTCCATTGCGTCAACACAGTGATAAAGATTGTCTTTTAGGTGAAACGGAAAACGCAAGACTTTTCTTTTTCGAGTGTCGCGTGGACAACAATTACTTATGTGAAAAAGTCTGCGAAGGACACCAGTCCGGTTGGGCGTAAGTAAAATGACCGATTCAGTTGTTGTACTTCGTTAAGAGATTGTTAAACACTCTATAACTAAGATACCATAACAGAACAACTGTCTCTTTACATTTATACTGAGTAAGCTGCTAGCGGTGCCCTAAGATAAGCTTTGCTCAAAATGAATTGGTCATTGTTTGATATTCGACTTCCATCATTCGAGCGAGCTGAATTATTATCTGAGTCGGTAGTAAACTTATCGACACCCAGAGTTATAACTCAGAATTAACTCTGGATAATCTTTAAAGTGACGCGCACTTTTTTGACCTCCTTAACAGGGCTTGGACAGAAGAAATCTGGAAAGCGGCAAGATACTCCGTAACCGGTGGTCTATTCCTAGCAGAGCAACATTGTCCAAATCGTTCTACACATGAAACAACGCCACAAACGCGCACTGAGCTCTGCGACAACTCGAGGGTTTGGTGCGCGTTCCGGTCTATCATGGAACTCACAAGGGAACGATCCCAACTTAAGGTGGCGAATTGGAATGAACCGCATATCGTTAGATGCGTCTTGATGAGCTGATTCCAAATCTGCCTTCCATATCTGCGACAACGTTATTTGCAAAAAGTTATGAGCAGTTGAAAATGTGAAGTTATTAGGGTTTTAATGCATAATGTGCTTCAAAATCCAACTTGAAAGTGCACGACTAGCATGATATTGAGTGTACTGATTTCGCGGAATGCTCACATTCAAAAGGAACACAAATAAGTGTTTTTGAACAGCTAAAAAGCAACTAAAGCTCTTTGGTAAAAGCTGTGAGCAATGAAAAATCCAAATTTGGCAAATATGCGGCGCATTTTCTCGAAAATTAGTTGTTCAAAAACACTTATTTGCGTTTCTTTAGAATGTGAGCATTCCTTAAAATCAGTACAACCAATATCATGCTAGTCATACACTTTCAAGTTGGATTTTGAAGCACATTATGCATTGAAACCCCAATAACTTCACATTTTCAACCACTCATAACTTTTTGCAGATAACGTTGTCGCAGATATGGAAGGTAGATTTGGAATCAGCTCATCAAGGCACATCTAATGATATGCGGTTCATTCCAAATCGCCACCTTAAGT